CCAGAGAAGGGCAGACGAGAGGACTCAGAGTACGATCACTGAGGGACCAAAGCCCAAAGGGGCCCAGAAGGGGGAGGAGACAAATCTTGCTAATACTTGGGGCCTAGGATGTTCCTGTAGGTGGGGGGGGACACACACAACCTGACGAGTCAAAAAGAAAAATTTACACTCATCGAGTCACATTCACACATTCCCACCCTTACACCCATTTAATTATGTTTAGATAGTAAACATACTCTTACAGTCCTTATACATAAACTATCGTGACAGGCATAAAACTAATGTTGCACTGTACACATTATTTTCACAGTGAAAGATGGCAGGATCGAGCAGTGGGGAGGTTTTCTTTAGCTGGAACAAGGGAAACTGGTCATAGCTGTTAAAGTAGATTAATAGATTTACAGCTGACTATTTTACCCCATAAAAAGCTAAATAAATAGGTAAATAAATACATTTTGAAAGAAAAAATAAATAAATAATAACAAAATAAACAATGATAAGGTTTTTAACTTCGGAAAATGTAGAAAAGCTCAGGGAAATGAATGCTGTAGCACAGGACATTACATATATGAGTGTTAGACCAACTCCCATTATATAACTAGAGCACCACTGGGCAAAAAGTGACAACATTGATTTTGTCTTTTCAGTGGCTCTTTACACAAACGCGTGGGTGGAGTGAAGCTACATATGATGACAGAGAGAGAGAGACAGGATGGAGATAAGAGAAAATACACAACTTAACATTGATTTATTTTGGCAGTTAGCCTGTCTATGTGAAATGAACTGCTGCCATCAGATGAATCGTTGTTCATAACCATGAATGTTCAGTAGCTAGAAAAATTGCATGCAATGCTCTTTATCTAAACATGGCATTGTAAATGCCATCGTTAAATGGATACTTACCAACAAACAATAAAAGAAGCAATGTGTGCGGATGAACTCTGCGCAGAGTTACCATATTCAGCCCTACGAGGAGCTGCTGAGGGAACAACTTCTGAAGTAGCTCTAGTTATTCCTAATAGTCTCCAAACCAAAGTCCTGAGTGAGAAAACTGAGGTCAGGACCACGGACAGCACCTTTTTTCTTGATCACTAAAGAGCGAAGGAAACTTTCTTCTCCTCCGAGAGAAAAAATCCCAAAGAAGCTGCTTAAAGAAACGATCCGAAGCGACAAGGAAGTCTAATCAGAAACGCTGGGTTAATAACTTTTTTTTTTCTTTTTTTTTTTTTTGTCTCAGATCAAATCACTAGAGCCTATTAAACATGCAGAAATCAATTGGAATCGTGTGTAGTTAAAGAGAGAGGGGTTCAAGTCTCTTTAACGTGGGTTACATAATGTGTTTAGAAGCTGCTGAAGGAGAGCCCACTCTTGACATTTCATTTGTTCAGCTGGGCGCTGCTTTTATTCAGCTTCCCCAGTTTCACAGTTAAAGCACGGACACAAAGTGTTGCAGGCAGTCAAGCCTTGGTAATCAAAATAAAATGAAGTACATGCAGCCCCTTAAAAAGTATTCACACCCTTTGTTTTCCTTTATATTTTGTCATATTGTTGCAAGACAAGGTGTTTTTCTTAGAGTAAGTGTATCATTAGTCTAATGGCTAGATCATCTGGTAAAGTGTTGAACTTTAAGGTGAAATTTTGATTCACCCCCTAACATTATTTATTATAACACTTTTATTTTATTGTTATTTATATAGTTAAATAATAACAAAAAAATACCAATGACATGTATGGTTTGTGTTCTCTCAGTTGAGAGCTCAATTTTATTTGGAACGTTCCTATTCATCTTGCTGTATTCTATTCCCCTCTGCGTTTTGCTGTGTTAATAATTTAAAAATAAAATATTATAAATCTAATAATATAAAAATCTAAAACTCAAAGTTTGTTTAAATATAGGTAGAACAAAGATGGACACCTCTTTGCAATATATACTGCAATATGAAATCTGCTGGAGTTCTTTGCAATCAGAAAACTACTGAACGAATCCTCTGTATTCTACAAGAGCCCTCACACAGCCCTTTCCCAGTGTTTGAGTGACTTCCCCTGGGACACAGGACCTGGCTGTTGGACTCAGTTAACAAGGACAACTTTTGTCCCTAGGGGCAGCCAACTCCTTAATTCCTAACCTTGTCCTGAAGTACACTTACATTCCACCAGCAAAAAGAAGAACCATATAATTTTTCTAGTGCTTCAGCTCAGTGCAGCTTACACTGAGCCTTGTTCTATTGGAGGTTTCTTTCTGTTAAAGCTGTGTAAGGAATTTGAAGTAGAGTCAACAATACAATGCAGTACAAGCAAATGTATACTGTTGCCAGACTCCTGCAATCAATGACTCATTACAATCAGCTGCTTTTCCTTATAACTTTCAACCAATCTGAGTGTATGATCTGCTTGAACTGTCTCTGTAAAGTGCCCTGTGATGACACGTTGTAATGTAGTGTTATATAAACAAACTGAATAATACTGAAAATGACACTAAAGAACACTAAACTGAATTAATGCACTTCATTTTTATTCCATTTAGGCTAACTAATGGAATTACCAAAATAGCATTTATCCAAACTTAATTGATTCGGTTAAACTTGAATAAACCAATAAACAGCACTAAATGAACCAAATTGAGCTGAACTTTAACTTTTTTATTGAAACACTGGACAACAAGTCACCTGAATTCATTGAAATTCCACTGGCATGATTTTGAACCTAATTAATTTTTAATAGAGGAGACCTTATGTGTCTTTTACACAATATGAGCCATAATTGAATAAAATCACACATTTCCTATACTAAAAAAATATACTGTGTTAAATTTGCACTTTTTGGTTGATAAAGGTTGGAAAAACATATGGACATTCGTGGAGCTTCATAAGCTGACCGTTCAGTGAAGACATTTTCCTCAAGATATTTAATCCTTGCTCAAATCTATATGTGCTAATTCAGGCTACTAAAGCTGTATTTTACTATTAAATGTACTATTAAATGATGTAAATTGAATCAAAATTAAACTTTTGATTTGATCTAAAATATTGTTTTCACCAAGAAAGTCAATTTCATGTTCTAATCTGTGAAGTCTGTGAATAAAACAGCAAAAAGGAATGATAAGTTTAAAACCCAACTGTGATAAAGCCTGAAAGCAAAACAATAATCTCAGTGTATTTAATCCTGCAGCTCTTGTATCTGGAACAATAAGAGGATTACTTCTACAGAACAAGAATAGAGAGTTGCTGAGATTTACCATAATTCTTTGATTTTATGTTCTCTATTTGTAAAAATTAAAACTAAAAATGTTGGTTCACAAATGAATTATATATCTACAGACATGAAACTGATGACTACATTTGTAATTGATGTGCAGTTGTAAAACAGTCCAGACTTACACAAAAATGGTTTCAGAGCTTTCACAGAAAAACAAAAAAAAAAAAAAAAAAAAAAAAAACAAGAGGAGCTAAAAGCACATCAGCAGCAGACTTGCTTGCTGAGAAGCAGACTAAATATGGCAGGTCTGGTTGAACCACATCCTGCAGATAAGGAAACCATAGCAACAGTAATGCAGCGCCATGGTGACTAGGCGCCTGCTTAGTGACAAGCTGCAAACTCATTATAAGCATACAGGAAGCTTCAGAACTATTTTCGTCCTTTATCTGCATCCAGACCTATTAGCTGAAAGAACCAAACCCAGATAACTCCAACAGAAAAGTGCAACTACATTTTTTCTCAGGTAGATCTACATAAGGTGGAAACGTGTAACGAAAACACATCTTAATATGATCATTTTCCCTAAGAAAAAGGTTTTAAAAATGCATTTAATTTCACAGTAAACTGTCACAGTGCACAAAACAAGCGACTGATTAAAGTTGTCAGAGGCACATATTGGTTCATAAATTAGCAGATTGTTTTGTGTTTGGGTTATAAGTGGTGGATTAAAAAAAGGGATTTGGAAGGATTTCAAGATCATTAGATGATTACAGACAACAGTCGTAGATCAAAACAATTAAGAAATTGGGATCTAAACACCTTTTAAAGTTATAGATTGAAAAATAAGACTTTAATCATCATTTGGCATTATTATCTCTCATTGTGTGCACTACATCTGTTGACATGCCACAATAATTCCTTTAATAAACTTCATTTGTCTGATGTCTTAATAGTTTTTTTTCTAATATTTTTTCTTCAAGATTTTCCTTTATTTAGTTCCATCTTCAATCTTTCAGTGTGTCTGTGGTTAGGTTTTCAGGTAAATGTAAAGAGGACTTTTATCTGCTTTTCACCTGCCCTACTTGGCCTGGCTCTACTTCACCTCACTAGTTTTCAATCATTTCCATTTCTGTTTTTGTCTTTCTTCTCAGTACAAGTCCTGTTTTTCTTTCAGCCCTTCTCAGGCATTAAGTACAACCAGAAATGAGTAGGGCCAAAAACAAAAAAAAAAAAATCAGTACCAACAGTGAAAAAGAGGTAACATTAATGTTTGAAAACTGGTGAGGTGGAGTAGAGCTAAGCTTACCTTTTATTTTTACTCCAGTTAACAGTTATCATCATTTTGTTAGTAACCAATCAAAAGTACAATGTATAATATAAATTAAAACATACCCACACAAATGTAACACAAAACTATACTTCTTCAAATAACCCATGTGTTGTGATCTAAACAACTAGAGCAAACATAATTTGGTGCAACTGCAAATCATCCCACATATTTACACACACAGACATCAGACTCCTCAAGCAGTTCTCTGTCTCCATGTGCTATTGTAAAACAGAAGTGCATGCCACATCAGCGTTAAAATAAGCTAATCTAACTGATAAAGCACATAATATCAGGTCATTCACAGAACAACACCTCACATACTAACACAGAAGCACCCACACATAGCTGCAGGGCAGTGCCAGATTCAACCAGGGGGACTTGGCATGGAGCTGAAAGCTAACACTGATATTAAGTGAAGACTTGTTCCATCTGACCTTCTGATTTGGCTCACATCCCCCCTGTAGGAATACTGACTTTCTATTATAAGACCCAGAATCTTGTGTGTCAGATAAAGCAGTAGAGCAGAAGAAAGCAGCAGTTATGAAGCTAAGACTGGCATGCATGCTGTGGAAAGGGTTATAAAACCTTTCCCAGAAAACCACAGTGAGAGTAATTATTGATAAATAAAGACAACATAAAACAGCAGTGAATCTTCCCAGGAGTGGCCAGCCACTCAATATTACTCCAAGAGTGCAATAACAACTCAGCAAGGAGATCTCCAAAGAACCCAGAGAAAAAACACCTATAGCATCACAGGCCTCACTTGCTCCAGTTAAACTCTGTGTTAACTCAGCCACATCGAATAAGGGTATCTCAATTAAGGAATTAAGATATAATAGTTTATGTATAAAGATACAATTGATTATATATTTGTTAAAATATAATATATTAGAAATGGTAAAAAAACAAAACAAAAAAAACCAAAAACAAAGTGAGGCTTGCTTGATACAGTAGACTGATGAAATATAACTGTAATAATGAGGCACCGGGTGACATTCATGTTGATGTTATTGTTGTTGCCATAAGAGTCACTACTAATACTATTAATAATATTCAATATATTATTTCTGGAATAGAAGTCAAATACGGTCATGAAGTTAATGGTGAAACCTTTATAGATTAAAATACTAAGTAAATGATTGTGTGCTTTTGTGTCTGAGCGTGTGGCCATTATTTTGTTACTGTGTGGGGAAGATTTCCCAAGAATAAGCAAGATTTTGGGGACTTATGGGTACTTGTGGGCACCAACCACAGGTTCCCATGAGGAAAGGTTCTCTTCTTGTGTTGGGGGTAAGGTTAAGGAATAAGCTGTGATTTGAGTTCAGTTTAGGGTTACGTATGAGTTGGCAATGGTTAGGCTTAGGGTAATGGTCTGGGTTAGGCCATAGAAGTGAATGGGAAATAAATGGAACAACATATTTGTGCTCTTGTTTTCAATACATTCTGGTACCCATTTGAGGAAAAACAGCCCGCCGTAGAGATCTACTGCTCCTCATGGGATCTGATGCCTGAACCCAACGTGGGGAATCTGTGTTTTTGGGTCGGGGGTCATATTTTTGGACTAAGGTACGAATTGAGTTTAGGTTGGGGTTAGGGTTAGCTATGAACCTATAAAGGTTAGGTTTAGGGTTATGGTAAGGCTGTAGAAATTAATTGAGTCAGTAAAAAGGCATTTATAATA